CCCATCTCAAAAGGGTTAACAGGGATTTAATGACAATATAAGATGTACACTCGTGTTGATTAAAAGGCCCAATTAAAAGGCAAGTGTTATACTTGCATGACCAAGTTGATAAAAATCTGAATTTTTCTTTATGATAGCCTTTTAAACTTCTACAGATAATTGACTATTTATGGTAAGGTACATTTATTAATCTGGTAAAAAGTAACCAAGTAAACTATGATGATAAAGTAACCTTGTCTTGCAGTGCAGCCATTAAACAAAAGTTTCAAAAACACGTTTCTATAAAATTTGAATTGAAGAATAATTTCCCCAAATGCTATTAACAGCAACACAAAATCTGTATGATAATTAATTTGGTTCTTATTTATAATTAAAACTGTTAAAATGACAATTCTGTGAAACAACTTGATGATTTTAGTTTTATATAAGTGTCAACATTACAAAAACAAAACAATATATCCTAGTATATCCAAATTTTACTCATAGCAACACTATTTAAATCCATTGAGCAACACGTCACACGTAACTGGTACATACACATCTTAAATACTCACCAAGAAGTTGCAGAAGCTGTTGCTGACTTATATTATTTAGAAGATTATGTAGGTCTCCATCTCCAAGATTACTCAATTCGGAGTGGAGTCCTTGAAAAGAACTTGAGCCACTCAAACCTGAGCGTGAGGTACCAGGGGCAGGGGGGTGGTTGAGATACTCATTGACTTTGTCACAATATTCATCATCTTTATCAGTCTTTGGTTCCTGTTGTAACAGGAATTTAGCAACACTTTTAAAGTACATGAAAATTAATATGTAAAAAAAACATCACAAATATTTTTATAAACATATTAATTCTCCTCTAGCTTAATGAAAGGATATGCTGCCAGTTGCACAAATATTCATAATACCAACTAATATATAAATAAAAAAAACCTAGACATATCTTGTCGTTTCAGGCAAAAACAAAACAATGCTAAACAAATTATAATAAATATTTAATATTTATTCAAGTTCAAATTATTTCATTGTTTTTCATCAACAAGTTTTCTGAATGACTTGGGTTCAGGTATTGTAGTTTCACTGGAAGTGTCACTAATTACAGCTGCTAGTTGATACACGCACACAAATGTGTCGCAGAGTTAGAGAACAAAAATTATATTTTTTTTATCTTATTGTTTCTTAGATTCTCATACAACTGAAAATAATGCCCTGAAATCTGCTTAAAGAAGTGTCCATTATGTGTAATATTCCTTTTGCTTCGAATGAAAATTATTATTTTCAGTTAGACTTATCATGATAATACTATACACTTAATTGTAAAAAATATAGGTGTAATATACAGTAAGTATAACAATTTTAACTTTTATACAAGTATGTAATACTACAATATTTTGTATTAACAACTTAATAACATTTGAAATAATAAACTACCTCAAAGATTCTTTAACACTTTTCTCTATACTTGAAATGTGTTGTTAATGCACTGCATCTAAAAAGTTTTGGACAAAGTTTTGAGCTGCAAGTGCAGGTCTTTATCAGGTCCTTAGAAGCTCAAAATGTGGTCCAAAATTCTTTGACAGGTGCAGTCCAATGACAAGTATACTTTCCTCTGTCTACACCAGTGATTCTGAGCATGGGGGCTCATGCCCCACAGTGGAGCAATTTGAAAATGTTACAATAAGAAAAATTTTACATTATATTATTATACCTTTTCAATACCAAATTTGTTTTTATATTAAGGGGGCATCATATTTTGCGAGGTGGGGGACATGGAGCAAAACAGGTTAAGAACCACTGGTCTACACCTTCTCAAGCAAAAATTTCTCTCCTTCACCTACAAATGGAATACTCCATTTGGAAAATGATTATTAAGTTTCCAATAGTTACTTACATAGTTGAATAACCCTTAACTAACAAAACTGTCAGTTAAAATGTAAACTGCTTATTTACAGAAATCTAAATTAAAATCCAATATTTAACACATTTTTCAGAAAGTCCTATATATATATATATATATATATATAATCCAAGACAGTGATGCAGAAAATCATG